GTTCTTTATGATCAATCATACAAACTCATCCTTCTCCACCCAACCAGAGTTGGAGTCCATCTTTTTACGCTTAAACATGAATGAGTCCATTCCATTCCAGCTATTTGAACACATATCACATGTATATATTTTTCCTAAAACTTATGGATGCTAAACTCCCCCCAAAACTTCTCAACAGTAGTTTTACGACATTGTTTTTAAGAACCCTATTTGAACCAATAGAGTTTCACTATGTCCCTTCAAATCACAGTTCCTTATAAAACTCATTAATTAAAAAGGATACAAAATTGTATTTATTTAAAAATGCTGTCACATTATCTGATAACTAAACTTATATTAATTGGTATTTAAAACTTCAAAATGGGTAATTACTAAACAAAATAATCCTCAACAGTTTTTGTTTAGTTAATTTTGGAACTTAATGAGAGAATGTTTTGTTATTAAAAATAATACTATTTTTTGGTTTTGCACTAAATTGATTATTTTAATCATTGTTAATATTTTTGTGAGTACCTCTCGATCTCAACCTTTTCAATGCATTTTATTAAACTATTGAATTTGAGATATTTATATAGTCATGTGTAGTTATAAAAAAATTATACAGGGAGATCCTATGTATCATTTATAAGTTTCCACAATTATAACATTTTTCAAAACTATTGTACCATAAAAGTACTAGGATATTGATATGATGCAGTGAAGATATAAAATACTTTCAGTCACCAATCACCATAAGAATTTCTGGAGTAAATGCCAAGGACAGTTGCTGAATCACATGGTAATATCATGTTTAGTTTTTAAAGAAAGTATCAAACTTTTCCAGAGTGACTGTTACAATTTTACATTTCTACTAGCAATGTATGAGCAATCAATTTTGTCTATATTCTAGCCAGCATTTACTGCTGTTGCTATTTTTAAGTTAGCCATTCTGATACATGTGTAGTGATATTTCTCTGTGGTTTCAATTTGCATTTCCCTAATATCTAGTGATGTTGAACATCTTTTCATTGCTTATTTGCCATCTATATATGCATCCTTTAGGTGGTAGGACTCTATTCTTTTTGACTATTTTCTAACTGAATTTTTTATTCTTTTACTGTTGAATCTTGACAGATCATTGTGCATTAGAGATTCTCGATTTTTGTTAGATGTGTTAATATGTCCTCCCAGAATGTAGCATGTCTTTTAATCCTCTTATTAGAGGCCTTCAAAGAGCAAAAGTTTTTAAGTTTTATGAAGTCCAATTTATTAATTTTCTGGATGGTGACGTTGTGTATAAAACTCTTGTCTCTAAAAACTCTTTGTCTAGCCAAAGATGCTGGAGATTTCCCCAATGATTTTTCTAAAAGTCTTACAGTTTTATATTTCATATTTATATTTATGATCCCTATTGAAGTAAATTTTCTATAAGTTGTTATACTTAAGTCTAGGATTTTTTTCCCCCTGTGGACATACAAAGATGTTCCATCACAACTTTTTAAATTTTTTCCACTGAATTCCTTTTGGACTTCTGTCAAAAATAAGTTGAGCATATTTGTATAGGTCTATTTCCTGGTGCTCTGTTCTAATTCATTGATATATGAGTTTATCCCTTTGCCAACCTGCCAATAGCAGATGGTCTTAATCACTGTAGCTATAAAATAAGTCTTGATATCAGGTAAACTACTTCCTCCTATTTTATTCTTCTTTTCCAAAATTTTTTGGGCTATTCTATTGTTTTTGCTTTTTTTTTTTTTTTGTATTTCCTTATAGATGTTAGAATAATCTTGTCTATATCTACAAAAGATCTCACTGGCATTTTGATAGAAATAGTGTTCAAACCTGTATATAAATTTCGGGGAGAATTGACATCTTTACAATATTGAGGCTTTCAATCCATTAACATGGCATATGTATTTAGTTTTCCTTTATTTCTTCAGTATAGTGTGGTTTCCTGTGTATATTTTTGTATAAGCTTTGTTAGATTTATGCCTGAGCTTTTAATTTTTTGAGTTATTATAAATTATGTTGTATTTTTAACTTTGGCATTCATGTGTTCATTGCTTGTATACAGAAATTCAATTGATTTTTTTTGTATGTTCTTTATGTATCCTGTGTACCTGATCTCATGTATTAGCTCTATAAGTTTTCTTGTAGATTCCTTGGTGTTTTCATTTTTTGTTATTTCAGAATATTAAGGGGGTACAGATATTCTTTATACATGGCTTTAGTCAGGCTTATAAATGTACCCGTATAGTGTTCATTGTACCTGTTAGGTGGGCATTTGACCTTCCCCTCCTCCCTTCTTCTCCCTGCTTGATTTTCAGTGATGCCAGAATGGTCACTTCCTGGTGAGGGCTCCCTTCCTTGGAGACAGCAGCTTTCTTGCTATGTGTTTACATGGACTTTTCTTAGTGTATGCCTGTGACGAGGTCTTTCTCTCTTCCTTTTCCCATGAGGACATGAATCCTATTGGATCAGAGTCCTGTACTTTTGACATTATTTAACCTTAAAAACCCTATTTAAAAACCAGTCATATTGGGGGCTAGAGCTTCAATATATGAATTGTTGGGAGGAGCAGAATTCAGTGCACAGGAAAAGGTACCACCATGCCAGAAAAATGAGTTGAAAAGTGTTCCATCCACTTCCATTTTCTGGAAAACACTGTGTAGAATTGGTGTTAATTCTTTAAAATGTTTGGTAGAATTCTCCAGTAAAACCATGTGGGCTTGGTGATTTATTTGGGGGAAGTTTTAATAAGTTTATTCACATTATCAGGGTTTTTTTTATTTCTTTTAGTAAGTTGTTATAGTTTGTATTTTTTGAGAAAGGGGCCCATATTATTATCTTAGTTTCCAAATTTATGTATGTGTAGTTTTTTGTAGTAGCCTCTTATATTTTTGATGTTTCATTCCTAATAGTGAGTATTTGTACTTCTGAAACCTCCACTTTTTTCTGTCAGTCTTGTTTGATGTTTGCCAATTAATTTTTTCATAGAATAATCTCTTGTTTCATTATCTTTATTATTTTCTGTTTCAATTTCATTGATTTCTGTGCTGATCTTTTCTTATTTTTTGCCTTCTGTTTGCTTTAGGTTTATTTTGCTTTTCTTTTTCTAGGTTCTTGATTTGGAAGCCTGGATTATGGAGTTGGGAGTTTTCCTCTTTTTAAATGTATGTTTTCAGTGCAACTAATTACCCTCTCAGCACTTCTTACTGAGTCTTAAAGTTTTAATATGTTGTATTTTCATTTTCATTCAGTTTACGCATATTTTTATTTCCCTCAAGACTTCTTTTTTGATCCATGGATTATTTAGAGCTATGCTGTTTATGTTTCCAAGTAATTGGACATTTTTATGTCAGTTTTCTCTTATTGATTTCTAGTTTAATTCCAGTGTGCTCAGAGAATATACTCTGCATGATTTCAACTCTTTTAAATGTGATAAGGTTTCTTTTGGGCCTCGGATATGGTAAATCTTGGTATATGTTCTGTGAGCACTTGAAAGAAATGTGCATTCAGCTGCTGTTGAGTAGACTGTCCTATAGATATTGATTAAATCCTATTGTCTGATGGTGTTGGCGATGTCTGTATTCTTGCTGGTTTTCAGTCTCAGGGGACTCTAAACTCAGTGTTGTTGATTTTCCTCTGTGGAACCAATGTCTGCTTTATGGAGTTGTTTCCTATGTTGTATTAGACAACATTCAAACCACATAGCAAAGCCTCTGCTGGTTTGGCGGATGATAAACAGTGGTTTCTTTTCCAACTTTTCAGTCATTTAGTTCTTCCTGTGACTTGACTATCTGGGTCTGGGATTGGCATCCAGTGAGAGAAAAGTAAAAGGAACAAATGCTGCTTTGTAGGAAATCAAACAAAATAAAAGAGCAGAGAACAGATATGGTAGTTCACAAAGATGAATACAATTTGGGAGCAGGTGTGAACCCTCATGGAGCTATGGATTGCACCAGAGAGTAAAAGGTGGCGAACCCAAAGACAGGGAAGAAAGAAGGGAGGACACAGAAGGGTGAGAAGGGACAAGTCAGCATGTGGGTTTTGTGACATGAAAACATAAGCCCTGTAACAGAATCCGGGTTGTCTTGGGACTCTTGTTTAGGTTGACGTATCGTAGACCTAGAGCAGTCTCAGGATTAATTGCCCTGTAGACTGCTCACGGCCTGTCTCCCTGGGCCTTTGCTGTGCTGGTCTTACTTTCCCCACGAGTGCTGCTCTGAATCCAGCTGAGAAACACTGCTTCATGACTAAAATAGAATTAACTAGCCAGATGGATTTGTACCATGTTCTTGTTTGAGCTCACAGATGTTTACACACACACACACACACACACACACACACACACACACACACACTTTGTTATATATGTTTTGATTAGGAAAATGAGTTTAAAATGGATTTCTAAGAAATTATGGTTTGGCGATAGACTATGGCCATCTAAAACCAGGAAATTAGTAAGAGTTTTTTTTTTTTATTTTTTAATAAAAGTAAAGTAGAAATAAATTAAACTATTTGATATATAATGGCTATTTATATATACTGAAAAACAAAATAGCATGTCATGTTAGCATTTATAGAATTAGTCTATATTTTAAGACTCAGCACATTAAATATGAGATTTGATAACCCATTGCCTAATAATTTAGAAGGAAAATAATAGACTCAGAAGCACATGGAAAATCATATTGTTTTGTGTAGTGCATGTACGGATGACTTTGCATTGCTGTGTCATCTTCCAGATGCTTAGTTTAAGACAATGATGTGTTTCATAATTCCTTCAGGAAGGCCTTTTCTCAAATGCTATTTAAATGAACAAACTCTGAACCTTCAAAACATTTAATTTCACCTACATAATTTCACAAAGCCCCGTGTATGACTATATAATTGTTTAACGGCATACTTGAAATTAATACACCGCAGTTAAAAGAGTTATTCAATGACTTCATCAAATAAACTTCCTTAACAAATCATGCTTCTTATTAACTATGTACATATCTTTTTTTCAAATTTAGATTATCGGGATTTCAACTACCTTCCTCCATAGTGAGCACAGGATCTATCCTGACGCTGTGGTTCACAACCGACTTTGCTGTGAGCGCCCAAGGTTTCAAAGCACTGTACGAAGGTAGGAGATTTCCTGCATTTTGCACATATTCAGTGTCCGCATGATCTAACCTACACGAATCTGGATTAAATATTTTAATGAAAAACAAAGCTGATATGTCAGAGATAGTTTCGTGTTGTTAGCATTTGACTTTCGTGTACTATGTTGAAAATTGGGTAACACTGTTTGCTAAAATTATGAAAATTTCTGGCACAAAATGTATTCACCATTTTCTTGTATTGGCGAGACTTTTCTTGATTGGATTTTCTTTGTGTTGACTTGCAGTGGATACAGTTTGAAAACTTTGAATGCAAATTAGTAGTCCTGAAGAGTTCATTTATAATGCAGAAGAGTTTTATTAAAAATTTTGTTGGACAATAATACTGTTAGTCAGTGTTTAAATAAAGAAAATTTCATTACTTGAGGTTTTGTTGTCAAAGTTGAAAATTTTAATTAATTGAGAAAATTAATTTGCTTTTGCTGTTGTTTGATCATACAAGGCATAGGGATTTTCTTTTATTTGTTTTCATGACTTCAGATTTTGTTCGTAGATACCTTTGGGGTATTGCTATCATTAAGCTCCTTTTCGGCAGAAAATTAAAAAATAAAACAGAGATTATGCTTTGATAGAGGAAATGATCGTTTCAAGCATTAGATGTTAAGAAATGGGATATTAATACATTAAAGGCTTTGGTGTGTCTAATTTAGTCTTGATTTGCATAGAGATTTGAAATTTTCCTTCACATGTAATACAAGAGCTATTATTTTTAATGCAAATAAACTCTGGCACCTTTAGATTAAAGTAAAATAAAATAAAAACTATGGATAGAGATACAGATCCAGCCCCTATTTATAACCCACACAGTTTACTTTGGACCTTGTTCTCTGTAAGTCACATCTGCATATTCTTATTTGAATACTCAGTGCACTTGGGCAAAATTCACTCTTTGTAAAAACTTAAAATGTACTTGTGGTTAGTGCAACTGAGCTTAGCTGTAGTATAATAATCAGAAAAGAGGAGAATAAACTGATATCTTTGCATAGATGTATAAACAGACCAATTTATCCTCTCATTTAAAGTGATGGGTAGAATGATGTGAGGATTCCCAACTACTCTGACCATGATGCTTTTCAGGGTACTGCATTTGTACATAATCCAGCATAAGTGGCTGAACATGGTTAAAGTGTATTACTGGCTGTCAAGGAATCTTGTAATCTTTGGAAAACAACAGGTTGATTTAAAATCAGCAGGTTCTATGAACTTTCAAATTTTGTTATACTTATGTATTGCTTCCTATAAACTCTAAGTTCACACAATTTCTTTCTGCATAACATTACAAAAGTATCTCAAAAGCAATCTACTACTACTCATACCAGCTACTCGTGAAGTGTACTTTGTCCAGGCAACACATGTATTTTCTCAGAAGACAGATAATGCCTCTACATTTTAGAAAACTTGGTGATTTTCCTCCCCTTCCTGACAAATTGATAGCTGAGTACCACAATTTGCTGGATTCCCTAAGATTAATTTTATAGAAATTCTGTTGTCATTGAATGATTGCCAAATCAATAATCATATCAAATCTTTCTGGGCTATTGTTGGTTTTACTAGTTGTCATGATGGTATAATAAAAATTATGGGTGAGATTGTCCCTGTTAGAAAAATATTTTGATGTTATTCAAAAAGACCAATTGGGAAAGTGACTAGAAAAGTGAATAGGGTCATAAGTTTAGTTAAATGTATTTACGAAAAAAGTGTGAATATGTGGAAAAAATTTTTGTGAAATCTAGATGTTCAATAGTAACATTATAATATAGTCTATGATATTTACAAGTAAATATAAGCCTTTGTTTTGAAAGGAAAAAAGGTGCTTTGTCAAAATTGCATCTAATATTTAATATCTGCATTTTAAAAATGTTTCTCAATTAGTTTAAAGGTCCCCTGGGAACATGAATGTGTGTTATTTGGAGAAAAAAGTTAATTATAGTCTATATAATACACCTTATATTTGGATAGAAAGTGGCAACTCTGTGAATCAAAATAGTCCAATGTTAATTCACTAGAATCAATACTTGCCTTGTATAGATCATTTCTCAATAGTGTATGGCAATTCCATAGATTGTGAACCAATTTACTTTGAACAGTTGACAAAGGCTTTGTCATTGGGATGGCAGGTCTTGAAAGAAATATTAATACAAATGATATGTGTTTTTGATATAGATATTTATAGTTGTGATAATAAAATTGGCAAGGAAGAAGAAAGGTTAAATTGTATTCTTGATTTAAACACAGCTAATAAGAAATGGTAAGAATCAATTCTCATTAAGATTCTATTAAATATGATGATTCACATAGTAGCTGTGAAAGAGAAGACTCTTAAACACAAAAACATCTATCAAATATGTTGATCATAAAGTACCAAATTTACACATTCATCATTTAACTCAGCTTCCCAAAGTGCTATCTTTACATATATTGACTTTACATTTACTCATGAAATCTATAATAATCTGAAAGTGTCAAAATGCATTTTAATGAATAAATGCTAGAGGTATAGTGAGAAGAAATTCAACACCAGTAAATAGCAAAGTTTTACTTATGGCAGGAAACAGTTTTTCACATAAAATAAATAGCTCATTTGTTGGAATGGGAAAAGCAACTAACTGCCCATGAAGATGCTATAAGGGACTTTCTTGGATTCTAAAGGAATTCTCCTCTTTCCTGTTTGTTTTTGCTTTAAAATCATTAATTCTATCAATCACAACATTATGTTCTAGTAACTAAGGTTTATGAGTCTGAGTGGATAGACAGATGGATGGATGATGGAAGAAAGGATGGGCAGGTAGATAGACAGATATGCCTGGGACTGTGTAACGCTCTTACATGCATTTTCTTATTAAATCCTCTCAATAATCTGTAAGTAAAGCAAACTTATCTATTATTATTAGATAAAGAAAGTGAGGTAGTAAACTACAGTAATTTAGTCTCCCAAGATCCCACAGTTGCTTAGTAGTAAAAGCAAAAATCAAACACAGGTCTCTGTATCTTAAGAAGTTATAATTCTAAACTCCTCACTATATATCCTCTCATATATTTGTTTATTTGTGTATATACACATGTGAAAATACTCAAAAAATACATGCATACATACACGTGCTTATACGCACATGGATGTACATATTTATGTATGCACACAGTATAAATGTGGTTACATAAGCGGACACACAGATTTACGCATCCATTTATTCCCTCAGTTATTTACTCAGCAATCTTTGGGCCTCTGCCAGAAACACAATACTGAGTTAAGTGACAGTGATGCAAAGACGCAATGAATGGTGCCTATTTGCAAGGACGGGTGAAGGAGAATGACAAAATCCAGTGGAACGTTAGTGTAATTGGAGATAATCAGTAGTCATGCTGGTTTGACAAGACTGGGCAAAAGAGGCAAAGCGTAGCCCTGCATGGGTCAGGTAGAGATCCTCACAGGGTGGACGCTTGGGCTGCATCTTGAAGAATGTGCTTATGAAGGTCATGTCCTAAATGCCTACTTTGTGTCCAACCCTGAATAGACATTCTTGAGGAACACAGATAATTAACAGGAGAATCTTTCTGAGTGAGGAACATGGAATAGTGTGGAGAAAAGCAAGAATTATAGGAGGTCTGCTTGGAAGAGAAGGGACTGCCCAGGCAAGATGATGTTAATGGAAGCTGAGTTTAGCGGGATCAAAGGGGGATCTGCCTGAGCCTTGGTTCTCCTGAGCTCAGAGAGCCTGAGGCCTGGAAAGAGAACACGTACTCTGTGAGATCCTTAAGTAAAAGACTTAGTTCGTTTCACTGGACCATGAAATGAAGGGTAGCATTTTGTTTGTGTATGCTTCCATTTTGTAATTTTATAACCTTTTAGCCTTTAAATGACAGCCCTGATGTCCAAAATGCATGCAGAGAGATGAGGAAAAACATAGATTAAATGAATTCTGAATTCCTAATAGCACTTTTTAAAGAATATTTAAACAGTTTATTGATCCTGCAATATTAAATAATTAGGTAAACATAACATCCATGTATCAAGCATTTTAGCCATTAGATGGAACTTAATATGCTCCACCTTATGGTCATTTTTCTTTGTACCCCTGAGGGCAATAATGGAATTTAAGAAAAATTTGAATCCTTGACATTTGGAACAGAGTAAATATTTATTTACTCTGTTTGAAATATTACACTATTTGAAATATTACACTATTTGAAATATTATTTCAAAAATATTTTTTGATAAAAAAAATCTATAACACCGCAACTTAACTTCATCCAGTAGTTTATAATCCTTCCTTTTGAAGGAAAATTCTGACCTAAAAGGAAAAGTGCGAGTCAATAGTACAAATGAAAGACTTGTATTTGATTTTCTCTCCAGTTAACACACCCATGCACCCTCATGTTTTTTTAAAAAGCACTGAAATGATATAAAGACAAAGAGATTTTATGATCCACAGTATAGAGAGGAAGATGCTCTCAAAAACAAAATTGTCTAAATATAAGAAATTCAATTAAAACCTTATACACTGAAAATGAATTAATATTTATTTATGTATTGTACATTTATTTTAGAGAAGAAAATGGCCTACTTTTTCACATACTCTGTAAATTTTTACCAGAGAAAACTGAATTTTCTACAACAGAGACCCTTTATTCCAGGTTTCACTCAGTAATTAACTCCAGGAATGGGTGGGGCTCCCTATTGCGAGGGTGTTTCCTTGTTGGCTGAATAGGTTTGGCATTTCCCTCTGACACATCCCTCAAGCAGAATGTTCTTCCTTTAACATGCATGGATCTGGATTTAGAAAGAGCAGCTAGATTATTACCCTTCAAGCTCAAAGCTTTATTTAGAATGTCAGCACTGATTTATTTCTCCCTTGACGTGATTACCCAAACTCCACCTGAATTAAAGCGTGGAACAGACATGATGCACCTGGCAGGATAGAAACATTCCCAACTGAAGAAAGTAACAAAGTAACAAACTAGCAGA